ATCACTGTTTTCTAGTTTATTTATAAAACTGTAATACCTGCAGTGACGCACTGGACTGGTAAATAGGGTTCAGTTTTGCAATATAGTTGTACTGAATTCCGTTTGGTTGTACATATACTATTAAAGACTATAATACTACTATAATTAAATAATTGTAATACTCTATACTATCCTTTTTTTTTTTAGGTTCATGAATATAATTGTTTCAATACAGCAAGTATTTTTACAATGCTTATACAATGTTTTTACAATATTATAAAGTTAATTAATGAAGGTTTTCAAATAAGTTAACGAATACATTTTAGCTTGATTATAAGTCTGGATAATCTTGAGCTTCAATTGCTAATCCTAGTGTTGAAGTGAAGGGCACCTTCTATTGTTTTTAATTTCGAATTAATTTTTTTAATTGTTCATTGATCCATGTGGTTATGTTTGGTATTCTAGTTTCGTTGTGGAGTTGTGTGTTTCGCATGTATCATGGCCCACGGGGCTTTAAGAGCTATTCTGAGAWATTTGTTTTGTATCGYTTGTAATTTTTGTTTGGGATGCGGCTGCCCATATTAGGCAAGCATATGTAATTAATGGTCTTATTATTTATGTGTATATTAGAARTGAGCATTTAATCTGAAGTGTTGAACTGTAATKTCTTAGGGTATATAAGATTTTCAATCGTGTATAGGCTTAATTTAATTTTTTATTTATATGCATTTTCCATGTTAATTTTTCATCAAGATAAACTCCAAGAWACCTATTTAATTTWTTGATCTTTATTATTCCATAATATAGGTTGATTTTTAATTGAGTGAGATTTGTACATCTCTTTAGGGTAAATATTTTCGCTTTGCTCTTAATTGAGTTAAGAGCGAGTTTCCATTATGTAAACCAGTCTGAAATTACCGTCTAAAGAAATTTGTAGATCTRTTATTGAGTTTTCAAGATTKTTATGTTATGTTATGATAATAGTATCATCTGCGTACATTGCTAATTGACATTTTTTACTATCTTTTTAACCATCTGGGATAGATTGAACGATGTGCTAAAAATCCATAATAATAAAATTACAATTAATCGTCTACTCTCGTTAGTATTTACTATATTCACTGAAATATATTAAAATATTTTACTATCAGAAAAGTATAAAAGGTATTGAGGAGAAAGTTTATATTAAATTTATTAAATAACGTCTCGAATTCCGCTTATTTTAGACTCTGGATGGCACAAGTCTAACGATGATATTATATTTTTTTTCGTCCAACACTTTCTCCAGAAAACTAAAGAAAGCCTATCCAATTTTCTGGCAACGTCTCTATATTATACATTGGGAATTTAATTCATTAACGGTCATATTTATAAGATTTTATTTTAAAAATTCTACAATTAATGTTTGCCTAAAAAATTACGAATTTCCACAAATGAATACCCAATAAAATGTAATAAAGCAGTGTTTTTTTTTATATAATATATAAGATTTGGATATTATATTATGTTGATTAATTTGAGCTTTATTTTTTTTTTCATTCAATAACTATATTGTTCAAATAATAAAACAAGTCATTATCTTAGAATGGTGTTATGGTGAGATGAGTAGAATGGTGCATATAGTAGGTAATAATTATTCATACTTTTTTATTTTTAAACTATGTCAAAGTTGGTATAATTTGGTTCTTATTTTAGTGTTTATTAAAATATTTGAAAAATGAAGTCTTACAGCTACCTAAAATGTTCTCATAATAAACGCTGAAACCGGATAGATAATGTATATTATTATTTTATCGTTATGTAATAGAAACAAAAAAATTAATTACTAAATTATTCTTTATGGTATTGTGAAATTGTGAAATTGTGAAATATAAAAGTAGCGAAAGGAAATAATAATATTTTTAGAATATAGTTTTAAGAATACCAAGATAAAAGAATAAACATTCATAAATAAAAGAACCATTCAAACCAATATATCACAAGGTTTCATTATAAATCTAAATTTACCACGAAATAGCAACATTTATTAATTATTTCTAAGTAAAAGCAGCTTAATTAATAAATGTTTTTAATTATTAGACATACAAAATCCATTTACCACATGTCCAATATTTCTTTTCCAACGGACCAAATGTGTTTGTTTAATGACCCGAATACGGTCAGAAAACTTCGCTTAAGAGTAATTTTGCTACTGGCAAAGTACAAGAGTTTCCAAGTGTTGTAATTAATTTGAAGCTGATTAAACTTTTGGGTTTCTCCTACGTTTAAGTATGCTACTTATTATTTGTATTTTTTACTACATGAATTTTAATGATATCCAAAAAATAATTAATATTTTTAATAGTACCTATTATAATGTATATGGTTTCACGCTTTAATTTTGTTTTCGTTTTTTTTTTTTTATAGAACTGTGAAATTGATAATTTTAACCCCTCTTCCCCACCCACGATCATAGTAGGAGCACAATACAGGGATCATAGTACGATCATAGTAGTTACTAGTTATATCTAATTAACTACCCAAAATTTTATTTCGAAGTTAGTATACTACTTTATCTATCATAAATAGTGTCATCAGACGAAAAAAAAATCATATTTTATTTCTAATCCAAAACATTATTGAGTTTTGTATAATATTAAGATGTAGAGTCATCTATATATTTAATTTAAATTTAAATAAAAAAGTTTAAATTAATTAATAAATATAAAAACCAAATTGATTATATTCGTCAAAAATATTAATGAAAATATAAAATAGGGTAACYTTTATATCCTTAGTTGGTAGGTAACTATTTATGAAATCTAATACAAAACACTATGTAGCTTATTATTCTTATAATATGTATAATTACTGTACACAAAAAATTACTAAAAATATAATTTATTATATTATCACTTATGTATCACTTTGTTAATTATAAATTGATTATATTGTATTTCAAAATCGTATTAATTATAATAGAACCTGGATGAATTTAGAGATATTGGTTGAAAAAAAATTGAAAATCTTATTTTTTAAGATTTAAACAAACAATAAATGTTATACATTTCATGGATAATTTATGATTTCATTAAACTATTTACAGAATATGAAATATGTACATAAAAAAATAAAAATATATATGTTGTTTTACTTTTATAGGTAATCGTATACTTCAATATATTTATTGTAAGTTACTTATTTCAGTAAATAATATTTGGGCGCTTGTAAATTGCGCCCACATTAAGTAGGTAGTAAAAATACTATAGTAAATTGCGCCCGGGATTTTTCGGGGTCTAAAACGGGTATAGTAAATTGCGCCCATAGTATATACTATCTTGAATTCATCGTTATTATTATGTGTATTTTAAAAATACTGTTGTTCATTTATTGGTGGATAAGCCGAACGTTAGGTTAGGTTAGGGCTGAATATGACATATTGTGAAGATGATGTCTTATTACTATATGCAGATAACTTATAACTGTATTTTTATTATTAACATTTTTAACCTAACACAAAATATTTAAACAACTATAATTAATACCATAATATTTTTTTTAAATTAATTTTTCTATTTTTATTAATTCCTATTTTTTTTTTTTTTTTTTTATTCATTTCAAAGTAAGCCAAAAAAAACATTTTTAAAGGACAGTGATAGTCGCCTCCTCGTGGTGTCCTCTGGGTAATGCTAAATTACTATCATAAAAATAATACTTCTATTGGGCGCAATTAACTATACAGAAATTTGTACCTGAAAGATACCGGGCGCTATTTACAACTATTTCCTTTCGTTGGACGCAATTTACGTTTGCCCTAATATTTTGGTAAAATATTTTGTTCTTCTTTAAAAATAAATACATTATTCGGTCTCATTTTGAAATTACATTCTATTGAATTTAATTCAAATAAAATGTTTCCAAGTTTATTTAATTATATCATCAAACTAATGTTTCTCAACAAAAATAACCATGTAGTTCAGACGATTTTAAATTGTCTATATAGATATTTGATATCATGTTCATAATAAAGTTGGTCTTATGATTCCTTTACCCGCTAAAACAATAATAATACTAATTCTAAGAAGTGTGATGCAGTTCCTCCAACTCTAAGTATATATTCCAAAAAGTCGCGAATAATGAAATTTAATTTCAAAACGACGCTCTACCATGATATATGTCAAAATCCAATGAAAGGTAGTTTTTTTTATTAATTTTCTCGGTTTTCAATCAAAACGCTTTGATATAACTTTTTAGCGTAATGGATATTATGTACAACTCAAGACAATTCGTAAACTTTTGTTTACATAGAACAACAGCCTTAAATAAACTACTGTAATATAACTTACTTATAGTTTAAAAAAAGTAATTCTTAATTTCGCATCAAATTCGTAAAATAATTTTCAGCTTTGACACGATGAATAAATATATATGCATACAATGATTTATTTAATCTACGTAAAACGATTCGTTTATAATATTTTAATCTATTTTTTTATAATATTGCATGTTACCGTGTGTGTCTAACTATTACCATAAAATATTAATACCTAACCAATAACCATATTAATACATACCTACATGTTAAAAATAAATATATTCGATCGAGGTGAAATAGAATTTAATTTAAAAGGTTCAACTAATAAATTACTTGCAAAAAAAAAAATGTGAACATTATTTTTTTTACAGACTAAGTACGTTTTACACAAGTGAATTGATGAATTTATTCATAATATTGCTAATTTGAGTATTATAATTTTTTGGAACACTAAATAAATATTAACGATAGAAAAAAATTGTAGTTACACGCCTATCTATATTATCCGTGTTATTATTTTAGTTGGAACACATTATTATTAATATTAAACGTATAGGTACAAAGTTTTGAAACACCCGGCGTCAAAAATATCGCCTTCGAGCACGTGTTTAAAATGTCGTATTCGTGTATTCTATTGTCGTTAAAAAATTATGCGACGATGGCACGTGTCTCGAAAAGTGTGGAAAATAATGCGATACGGTTAATGTGGGTAAAAAATAATACGTACTTGGCGGTGGCACTCGTGCTGCAGCGTAGACGAAAAACAGCTCGCTTCCGATGGGTAGACGATCGTGACCGGTCCGGCGGCGGCGGATGAACACGCGGCCAGATCACACGGTAGCCAGGCGGCACATGAATCGGCCGAAAAAGCAGGAGACGGCGGTGACGTATGAACGCGTCCCCCGGTGGCGGCGGCGACGGTTACTTTGGGTCATGACGACCAGAGGGCGTCCAAGGTGGGGAGGAGGATCGATCCTGAATCTGACAAGAGGTTTTCCAGGAGTAAAACCGTTTGCCGCCCTGTCGTCGCACCCCCCCCCTCCCTCAACTCTGCCCCTTGCCGAAGTCACTATACTACTACACCGGTGCACTTCGTGTAATTGTCCAGTCGGTGTGCGCGTGTGTGTGTGGGTGTGTGGATGCAATATTATAGGTGTGCGAATGTGTGTGGCGGCGGCGGCGGCAGTGGCGTAAGACTATAGTGCATTATTTGCCGAGACAATATGGTGTAGGTATCCGTGACGTCAAAATCTAACCCCAGAGAGGAAAAATAATGATAATGTTTCGAATAAATTCCGTTGTTGTGTATGCGTACGCTTGCAAAAGCCGAGGGAAAACGATACTGTACTATTAATGGATAACATAGCCGCAGACGGACGCGTGCGACCTTTTATGTATGCGTTATGTATATATTATGTATATATACAAAACTAGACACATAACAATATACCTAATCTATATATATATATATAGCCGACTCACTGACTCTCATCCCGAAAARTCAGAGGGAAAGTGTGAGAAGAAGTGTCGAGTGTTTTTCTTCTGTATAAATAAATGTATATATATATACATGATTTTTGAACTTTGAAAACGCCAAAAATATAATTATAATTAAGGCGCGGACGACACCAAGAGTTGCACTTGACGGGAAAGACATGAATAGTGGTACGTGGATATTCGATTAATTTAAATCTGCAGTACTTACCTATAAGAAGGTGCTTGTGCCATTATTTAAAAATCAAAATTATAAATGTTGGCCGTGAAAAACAAAACTGTTTGTTTAAATACTTCAACAACAATAATTATTTTGATTGAAAACTAAAATAATATAAATTAATACAAAGTTAATCGCTYAAAACATGCCCTTCACCAGTTATATTTTTTTAAGCTTATTAAATTTAATAAAACCTCAATTTTTTTAGTTAGATAATATACAAGGTGTAACAGATAGAACTGACTTTTTTTCACATTAATATTTTTATTTTTTATTTTTATTTATTTTTATTTATTAAGTAACACATGAGTACTACATGTATAATACATTTTTTATGTTTAATTTTTTAGTACTGAAATAAAAAAAAATTTTTG